GGTTTTAGAGGGGAGGGGGGCGGGGGAGATGGGTTAACCTGGTGAAGGGATATTAAGGGAGGCACGTACTGCATGGAGCACTGGGTGTTATACGAAAACAATGAGTCATGGAACACTACATCAAAAACTAATGATGTATTGTATGGTGACTAACATAACATAATAAAATAAAATTTTAAAAAAAGAAGTATTCAATCCCCAAAAAAACCAAAAACTCGAGTCTCTCCCGTTGCCTCTCTTTTGCCTTCAAAATTAAGCATTACTGTAAATTCTGTGTTTACTATTTCCTTGTTTTTCTTTGCAATTTTACTAAATATATGTGTTCCCAAACAAAAAATAAAATAAAATAAAAAAAGAAATTGAATTTAATCCACAAACATATTGTTCCCACAAAGGAAGATAATGCATAAAAGAGTTCACTTTATGCTAGAATGTCCGAACTATAGACATTGTAAATATTTAAGATATCGTATGCCCTTTGATAAAGTAAAATGTCCCCATAATTAAACCAAAGTGATTTCCTTTATTTACTATACCTAAATAATGTTCCTACTTGTTTAATTCTTTTTCCCAGCATATCAAGAATAATATTGTACAATAAATATCAGTATATATTTATTGGTAATTTATTTTAAGTAAACATTAGCAGTAGAAATAAATATTACTTTTAGAGTTCAAAGAACCTAGAGATCTGAAATAATCAAATCTCCTACACAGTAACACTCTACAGAATCTCAGCAGTAGTAAGAAGGCTTCTTTTTACCACCAGAAATTCACTACTTCAGTATACTACTCACTCACTTACTGAACAGCTTTAGTTGCTTAAAAATGTGCAGTAGAAATCTGGCTCTCTAAAACATCTACTGAATCCTTCATGTTACCTCTAGTTCAGGATCTTTCCAACTTAACTCTGAAATTCTTACACAGAAGTGAATCAGTGGCACAGGGATCTGTAGATATTCCAAAGAAAGGCCTGATTAAAGCAAAGTAGTGCTATCTCCAGAGAAATATCATCTGACCAGCCCCCACAAGGCCTCCCAGACTACAGTGCACCATGGGCCAGGCCCGGCCGGTCCTCTAGCTTGTAAGTGCAGAAGTTTGATCTTACAAAATGCCAGAACTGAGTGGGCTGGAGAAAGCTGACTTATGCCAAAAAAAAAAAAAAAAAAAAAAAAAAAAAAAAAAAAACACAGTAAGTCAGAACTAATCAATTCAACTCATATGAAATATATAACTGTCAAATGGATAAGAAATCCAGGTGATACTGTAGGCTACAAAGAAATCAAATTATTTTAAGACTGCTCAGACAACAGACCATCAGAACAAGGGAAATGGGTTGACTGAGTGAATAGTTAGCAGCATCAGACGCTAATAGTTTTGTGCATCCATTTCTGCACCTGGGACTCTAGGTTCGCAAGTTCGGGTTGGCTTCTCAGGGCAACACCACCCTGGAGACCACTTGAATAGAGAACACGACTTTCAGAAGCTTCTTTCACCAAGCTCTAACCCTTGCCCCAGGAAACATTCTTTCTTTGGGTACATGGATAGTTTTAGGCAAGTTTTACACTGTCATATTTCTGCTTCAATCCATAATGTGTTGCTTGGTAGATTAATTATCTGAACAACATCTTATTTACAGCTTTTGGGGAAGAAAAAGGCAGGGATAATGCTAAACACACACGTACACACACTCTGGGCTATATTGACTTAAGTCTCTGAACCGCCATGCCTGGCTCTGCCCCTTTTCTACCCACTTCCCTTACTTGAGTTATGATAAGTTAAAACCTTGCCAGTCTTCATTCCCTCTGTCTCTTGCCTCCCTCCCCCATCTCTTTCCCTGAACGCGCCAGGATAGAAACAATACATATAGCTGTGCTTTAGAGCGACCCACTTCTATAGCTCTTGACTAGAGCATTGACTAGCAATGGGCATGCAACCCTGTTAGCTCTGCTGCAATTAACTCAGATTATACCAGAAATGGTTTCTTAAAAAGGTCAGGATCCCTTTCAGCATAAATCATTCGTGAACATTTAGTAGGAAACTAGTTGAAGACTTTACACAAAAACATGGAGAGTTTCTACCGTTGTCACTATCTCTTTTAGCAGAAAGAACACAACCCTTACATTAAACCTCTTTCAGTGGAGGACAGAGAAATGGATGTCTAAATCATCAGGCACTGTAGGAAACATATGGACTTCCAAAGTATCATTTTTAGTTGATTTTAAATCTTTTAAGTGCTTCAGGATTGCTTGAATACCTAGGCATAAACATCAGGGTCACGAATACCGTCGTCCATACACAAACTTGGTTGGAATATTAGATTTTCTGTGTCTCTATTCTTCTTAATATACTCAAATCTCGTTTCTAAAATATGTCTATTGCATTACTAGAAGTGGTTATATATTCAGGTTTTCAATCAACTGGTTTACTTGATTGGATTGACTATAAATTTGTTGACATATATTGATGATTCCTCATTTTCTTGCTCAGGGATCATTTCTTCTATTCATTTATTTTCAATCTCTCTAACTTTCTTATCTGACAGTATCCTACGAGCAGCATAACAGAGCACTCCAAGCTCATAAGGAATGGTGTAAACTAATTAGCAGATTTTATGATGGAAACTCTTCTCCTCACACGTGATCATCCTGTCTGGATAATGAACCTTGTGGAAATATCTGGTTCCTACTACACTAAGGCCGCAGCCTCACTCAAACAAGCTCTTACTTTGCCCTTGGACTTCGGTTCATAATTATGAATATGGTACAAATCCAAAAACAAAAACAGTATGGGGCGAGGGATGGAGTTAAAAATAAAATAGCCTAAAAATGGATTTTGAGTTAAGAAAATTCTTGATCTTCTTTTGCAACTGACAAAAAGAAAAATAGTCCTAATAAGATGTGTTTGAAAAATACCATGCCTGAAATCACAATGCATAACTGAAGGAGAGGGAAGTTACAGAAAATTCTCCTGCATGCAGGTGTGAGGAAGCACTGAAGGGTTACTAACAAACACTAACTAGAAGTGTTGAATTGCTTGTTATGGGGAGAAGATCCAGGAATAAGAGTGAAAATCAGTGCTGGTCCGTTACATCAGCAGTGGGCTGGCAAACCCCACTGGGAAAGTCGCCTTTAAACAGCAGGTGCATGGTTTGACCACTCTAGCTTCTAGCCTCCTGGCTGCGGCAACAAATGAGCCTAGTCTTCACCACAGATTCAGGAATGACCACAAGCCATCTCAAGCTGCATCAAAATAGCATCCTCGCCCTGCTTCTGTTTTGGTCACATATTCCCATATTGAAAAATTCACCCAACATTATTTATTTCAGTTTTTGTGTGTTTGCTCATTACAGCTGTAATTTGTTACTAAAAACACCATGACATAAAATTCTAAAGTACCTTGGAAGAATGGGGGAAACCAAAAGAGAAAATTTTGTATATTTTTAGTCTTTTCCATGGAAGTGGTTCATTCATTTTAACGACAGTCATCAAAGTAGGAATATAATACAAACAAAATATCACCTAAATAGGTAAAGAGACACAAATATAGGACAAATGAATGATTTAAATGCCATCTCCAGTCTCTCTAGCATACTTATGATAAATCCTTGATTAATTTGAGCTGTGATTTGAAATATTACCCATCATACAAATGTGCATAAATATTCCTACACAGGAAAACACTTAACATATTTAACAATATACTTCAAACTTAAAAGTTCTGCAGATGACTAACTAGATCTTAAAATTATAGATATTTTACAGCTCTGCTTAAACATAAATAATGCATTTGTCTGATTCACCCATATTAAAGGTATTTTTTCTCCTGATGAATATATGCATCATCCATGACTGCCAGTACCAAACTATAAGGACGCACTGTAATAAAAGCTATGCCTGTATGTGAAATAATAGGAAATAATTTATTTCATAAAAATAGTAGTTCATTTTTAATCTTCTATTACCGCTGCTTCCATTACTTCTCTTGCTGTGGATTGAAGAGCATCTCAGATTGAAGTCAAGACAATTATATTTTTCATGTGTTTAGGCAAGAATTTTAAAGTTTGTCAAGTCAGGTCACGGATTATGGAAAAGACTCAAAAAAAGCAAACTTGATATTATAAGATGACCATAATCAAGACTATTTAGAGATAGCATTACAAATATGAAGCAAATGTATTTGAGCTGAAGGTCAGAAAACATATTTTAATATCTTTGTAGAAACATAAGAAAACAAAACTTGTTAATGACAGAGGAAAGGGTTCACTTTAGAACACAAATTTTTTCTTTATTGTAAGTTTAGCTTTCACATCACATTGTTAACATAGGCCAGCTATTATGCATTGGAATACACTTAGAGAATTCAATATGTACTGTGTTAGTATCTCCATAAATGATTCTGAAATAACGTTTGCTCTTTCAATAGCTTTATTTTGGCAATAAGAAAATGTACGGTGCTAGTAGAATTCCCCTTCACAGTAAATGAAAAAAGCCTGAAAGAATATGTTTGTTGCAATTTGCATTTAGTTTTGGAAAACATCTGTTTAACAACTGAACACAGCTATATTTTAACTTTTAAGCTACCACACTGAGAAAGTATCAAGGTATTGCAGCCATTCACTCTTAGGGACATTATGCTGGGCTTTGAAATTCAAAAAATAAGATAGTTCTTCTTGAATTATTTTATGATCAATGTACGGTCTCTACCCAAGGAAAATTAAAGCTGTCTGACTACTTATAGAAACATCACTGCCTATTAAATATGGAAAAAATTGCATAAAAGCATGAAAAGCACTGGGTAATTTTGCAGTTTCATCTCTAAACACACTTGTGAAGATGTCTGTCTTTCAATTCTTCTTCTTTCTTCTGAAGCATGGCCTTTTAGTTCTTGCCCTTTTAAATATCTTTGCCTACCATAGCTTTGCTTCTTAATGTACTGGTTGATCTTACTGGGCTGAGAAACTATTTACAAGGGGTGCCTGTTTTTATCTGTATTCACAGAGAATGCTAACAAGTTAGAAGAAAGTGCAAGAGAACACCACATACCTTGCCCAGAACATTACGATGGTTTCTGCATGCATGGGAAGTGTGAACATTCTATCAATATGCAGGAGCCATCTTGCAGGTAATGTTTTCACTCTTTAATTTTTAAAATGTATAAAGTAAACACAGAGAACTAAATTCTGGATGTTTGCAAAGAATTGCATGGCATTCTGCCTGACTGGGTGATCAGCAGCAAAACTTTTCACTGACTCTCCTACACACACACACACAGACACCCACTAGAAAACCATGAAATGTGTGTGCCTTACATACCTGAGTACTATGTAACATATCATTATGTATACTCTTCTGGTAGAATTTCAAATTGTACTTTGGGCATTACAAGCTTCTTAAAGACTCAGCTTCCTCTGTTTTATTCATTGCCCTTTCCCATGGACATAGAATAGCTCTTGGCACATAACAGGAGGTCAATAAATATTTCTGAAATGAATGGATGAGGACTTAGGGTATATAAGATAACGTCGTTGCTTTGGGGAGGTCATCTTTTCCAAAGTCCTTCAGGTGTCCAATCAATTTTATCAATCTTGGTTTTGCTAGGCACCTACTCATTGCTGTGGGTCGGCTACCCACAAGCCTTGTACAGTGCGATTATTAGCTGTACCTCCACAGATTCTAACTCAGTTGAGACACAAAGAAATTGCTTGTCTGGACTTAGTTAATAAATATAAATATCTGCTGAATATTCATGAATAGAACATAATTACTGAGATGGTAAAAATACGGTAAACCCAAGGTGGAAAAACAAATGTATTTTTATTAAAGGAATCTACAAGTGGCATATGATGAAATAGGTTGTGTATTGTTACACAGCGAAAGGAGTTTCTCTCTCTTCTCCTCCTCCTCCTCCTCACTCTTTCTTCTCTCTCTACGCTCAAGAACTGTCTTCCTTTTATATCTTCCTTAATTGAATACAGTAGCACCTTCCAGTGAAGCCAGGTACAGTCAACATAACTGGGAGGCTGGTCCTGCTGCCCTGTCATCCTTAGCAGGGTCCCCATTATTAAACCCTTCAAGGCAAAGAGGAAAGACCCCAGAATGGAGAAATTCCAAGTGAAGCACTAAAATAATTGCACAAAGCCAATGACAAGTTGACCCTTGTTGGTATTATTATGTGAACAGTTTCTTCATTTCGTTGTCAAATGCTAATTTTAACACGCAGATGGTCTCCTGATGCTTTCTGATGAGGCTTGAGTGAGTGAGAAGCAGCGTTCATTCTCAGATGAATAGCGCATGGGTTTATTTTGCAGAACTCTGTTGCTTACACCATAATTGGTTTTTTTTTTCTACTGAAATTTAGCTCTCTAACATAAGTAGACAACTTTAGGATCGACAAATTAAAGAAATCACTTATTGTATCCTTGGTCTAAACATTTTTCAACATTTATTCTCACAGTAGCCAGGGAATGCTTTATCCAAAAGTAAATAAATAAATAGCCCCAATTTACACCCATATCCTCAGAAACAAACCTTTTCTCAAGTAATCATGTCGACTTAGGTCGATTAAAGGACAAGTTAAATAAAATGTGAAACTCATCTGAAAAAAAATATGGAAAGAATAGTATTTCTGGACAGCCACTGCTTCTCTATATCATCATCACAAACTACGTACCAACCCTCCTGTCACAAAATCTTATTATAAGTATAAAAGAAAACCTTATACCTTTGAAACCAAAAACACAAGGAAATCTCATTGAAAGGATACAGTCGAAAGCCATATCTACAAAGCAGCATTTCTTTAAAGAGGGAAATAAACAGCCCCGATTTCACAATGAAGATAACTGTGTATGGGCCGACTATAAAAATGAGTCCAGCAGCTACAGGTAACTGGACACTATCCTTCCTTCCAGGTGTGATGCTGGTTATACTGGACAACACTGTGAAAAAAAGGACTACAGTGTGCTGTACGTTGTTCCCGGCCCTGTACGATTTCAGTATGTCTTAATCGCAGCTGTGATTGGGACCATTCAAATTGCTGTCATCTGTGTGGTGGTTCTCTGCATCACAAGGTCAGTAATGTGCTCGATGGCCACCCAGATAAGGGAATCTGGTGTTCCTCCTTGCCTTACTTAGGTTACTCTACGTAGGAGTCCCTTTGTGGACTCGGCAGCCATCCATTCTCAGGAGTCCTGTTTCCTCATCATAACAGCATGTGAATAGCATCGATTTTCATGCTGGAGTGCTACCAAGTATTTTCCTTATTTTTGCCTTTTGATGAGGATTATTTATTTTTGAGGCAAAGATCTGTTTTTCTCTACTATGTGATGCCAATCTTTGTTTAAATATGCTTTTCTCTTTTAGCTATGGAAAGTCAGTTTTCGTTCAAACTACTAACAGACTATTTAGATGACAGTGTTGTCTTATTTACCCAGATCAGTAAGCCAAAAGAGGTGAGAAGAGATTGTACACAAGGCCTAGAATAGTGTTCAAGGATAGCTTTCATTTATGGTACTTATTTCCAATTATAACGCTGATATAATCATTTTTAACATATTTGATGTAAACAACAGGTGCATTTTTACGTTAAGTTAAAATAGCTTTTAATCACAAAATTCGAAGAAAATAGCTACAATAAAAAAGATTATGTTGCAGTACATGAAAACCTTTGATATATGGAAACATGCAGCAAATATGACAACAAGCGTTTATACCAAACCCCCAGAACAATCAAATGGTAATTGTTTCTGGAGACTAAGATTGAAAGGGATCCAGAGACCTCATCCAGTTTCAATAGGAGAGAAAATCATGGTTAATTAGTGATGTCTGACACTGTGCTTGGAGTAAAGGGGTAAGGCCAGGTATTTACTTGCTTAACTTCATCAGTGTGTAAATTCATGGCAACCAAATCCGTATTATTTATGCCCTGTCTAACCGGAAATACTATTGAAGACGCTTCTTTCTGACCTGATTTCACACTACTTGAGAAAAAGTTCCAAGAAAGTTTTTTAAGTTTTTTGCCAAATTCACAAGACATTTAAACTTTCGTTCATTTGTACAGCTCTACAGTAAATCAGAATGTTTCCCCCAAAATTATTTTTCTAAAGACAAGAAAATAAAAGAAAGTACCATATCCTTAGAGAATAAAGGCCATAATACGTCTCCGTAGCTGTGCTGCCCTATCTTCTTTGAGGACAAGTGTGGCATTTGCTCTTGAAAAAGACAAAATATGGTTCATAAATCCTTGCCGGGCCTAAAAGCTTAAGGGAAGATCATCGACTGGAGCTTTGTGCTGCTCAAAGCCAAGCTGAGCTCATCAACTAGACTCTCACGTTTAGATGCCAAGTGAGTCAATGGATTATACTAAAATAGATTCTGGGGAACATAAAGATAACTCAAGAAACCAAAAATACTGAGTATAAAGGAAAGATAGAAAAGAATCTAAAACACAAGAAGCGGTGCCTTATTACTCTAAGGGTCTCGAGTCTTCCGATATGTACACCATGTCAGCACATGAAAAACCAGATTCCCATTCAATAGATCTAATCTCATTACAATTGGATTTGTACTTTGTACTTCATGTACTGACAAAAATGCAAAACTTTCAATACTTTAGCAGATGTTCTCAAGTTTGTTATTAATCACAGTTCTGTTCCCATATGTTATAAGAATAGCTGGAATATGTAGGGTTCTTATTTCACCAAGCATTGTGTATATGTTATGTGTGTGTGTGTATCATACATGTGTGTACACACACATATACATTTGATAACATACGAAGAAGGAACAGTGATCCCCATTTTCAAAATAGGAATCCTGAGGTATGAGAAGTTAGCCAATTGCTAAGCGTACACAGCTGTGGAGTCCAGGCTGCCTGGTGTCAGATCCTGTGCACTTACACCCTGCTCATACTGCCCCTCGGCTAGTCATAACGTCGTGTGTTCCGATGCTCAAGACAACCTAAAATGAGCTCCAAATTAGAAGGAAGACATTTTTTCAAGGCATATGGCCATTTTCATTTTCCATGTTAAAACAAAACAACATCTAGTCTCCATTTACTTTTGAGGAAGAGTACATGAGCTAAATTAGCATTTTTGTAATGCATTTCATAAAGCTGTCTTAGGATGTCCAAGTCTTCCAAAGTCTTTCCAGGAGTCACACTAGTCAAAAAGCCACACTCTTCCCAGTGTGGATTCATTCTACTCACTTGAGAATGTTCTACTCAAAAACCAGATTTTCCACCTAGGTCATCTGCCCCTCCCCTAACCCTCCCCTTTTCTGACCACCTTGACCACACTTGTCTGTCAAGACCTATTCCAACATATGCCGTTGCTAAAAGATTGACAAATTGCACCAAGCAGAGGTCCTTTCATTCTCTTTAATTTTCTTTTAATTTCTCCATCCCCTGGTCTCTCTTCTTTTCTCTCTCTTCCCCTCCTCCCAATTTCTTTTTTTCTAATTGCTTCCCCTTGTTTTTATTATTTTAGTCAAACATCTGCCCTCCTTCTAAATAGAGCATGTGTCATAAAAATATAGACATCTAGAGACATGCTCTGGAATGAAAAGAGTTGCCCTGTTGAGAAGATGGATTTTCAATCTTTTTGTCTCCAGCTCCCACTTGCTGGGAATGTGACTTTCAGCTCCATGTTCATTTTGACTGATCTACCACACCTCTGTAAAAAATATATATATATATTATATATATTTATTTATTCATATATGAACATATATATGAATATATAATCTCTGAAAGCCATCTTATTGTAATAAGATTTTATATGAACTTTATATTGTTCTTATTTGCATCATCAAAGCATTTGTTTATTTTAAGAGAAAAGACACCAGACCAGAGCTTTTCAGATAATTTGACTCAATTTAGCTTTTATAGAAGCAAAATAGTTGGCACCAATTTATGTCTCCAGCTTATGGTACTAATTTATAAAAATAATATCAGGCTGAACCAAAACAATATCCCTTTTCATTACATATCAGATATTAAGAGTTGGCTCATTCTCTGGTTGGATAGGATTTAAACTTGTAGCAGTGAAATGTCAATATAACATTCATCCTGAGGACATTTAAAATATAAAATTGTTGAAGACATTTAAAGTGAGATTAGATGAGCTCACAACTTGCTTGACTGCCTTGTGCTGAGTCATTCTTCTGCCTTCCTGAGTAAGCGGTTGAGGACCAGGTAAATGTATTCCTCTTCACCTTCTGCCTCTGCTCTTCAGCGCTCCCCAACAGACGCTTAAAGACAACGGCAAGGAGAAGCGCAAAAAAAAAAAAAAACCTTCCAAAATAATCCCAGCTTCTACTAATAATAAATTCTTTTGTCTGAAATATTTTAACAATTGGCTTAATCAACAACTTCACTCTGTAATTGTAGGACCAAACTTCAGGTAACAGCACTGGACTAAGATTTGTAAACTTTCCAACCTTCTAGGAAATGCCCCAGAAGCAACAGAATTCACAGACAGAAGCAAAATACAGGGCACTACAGTTCAGACAACACAACAAGAGCATCCACGAGGTTAATCTAAAGGGAGCATGCTGCACAGTGGCCGGACTTCTGAGAGCTGGGACTACACAATACAGTATTATAGACAAAAGAATAAGACAAGAGATCTACACATGTTGCCTTGCATTTGTGGTAATCTACACCAATGAAAACATGTACTACAGCTATATTTGATTATGTATGGATATATTTGAAATAGTATACATTGTCTTGATGTTTTTTCTGTAATGTAAATAAACTATTTATATCACACAATATAGTTTTTTCTTTCCCATGTATTTGTTATATATAATAAATACTCAGTGATGAGAAAAAATTGGCATTCTTAAATTTGCGGTATCTCATAACTGTAAATATAATCAAGCTGGTACAATCTGCAGGTACCGGTAGTTCATCTTTCCCCACATCTTGAGACAGAGCATTAGTTTATACAGGACTCGGTGGCTAGGTTTTGAGTGATTCCAAGATCAAGGGAAATGATGGTTATTGGAAAAGAGAAAAAATAACTTACTTTATATCGAGTGAGGATAAAATATTTCAGATCTTTGAATCATCTCTATTTCATCAACTTTCTTCCCTGGTCTTCCATTTTCATCCCCAGAGCTGAAAAATCCCTGGCATATAAATTAAATCAAAGAAAAAGGGGAGGGAAAGTGTTCTATAACTCATAAAAGAGAGGGAAAGAAGATATTGGTTTTTATTTGGAAAGCATCTGAGAATCTCGCTGTTAAGTGCATTTACCTGAAGGGTCGGGAACAAGTTACATATCAGGAATACGCAGAGCACAAAACCTGTTCCATTTACGTGAGTGGAATTAAGAACTTGCAGAAAAATTTATTAACATCATTAAAAGTGAAACACCACAATCATAGATTCTCAGAAGCACCTTGCTACATTTATGGCATAGAGTTCTTTAAAAAGAAGTTGGAATCACCACCAAATTCCTTCTGAATAGCTTTATGGCAAATGCTGACCCATTATTTGAAGTGGGACTGTGGTGATGATGATAGTTCATAAAAAAACAGAAAAATACACTGTAAGCATATTTAAATGCTGAGATAAGAAAGCAAACTAATCCCATAGCACCTAAAAGAATTTAGTGGGAAGTTGATAGGAATTCTTGAGCATATAAATAGGTATGATCACTTTGGAAAGAAATAAAATATGAAAATTCTCAAAGAATATGAGGTAAATAACAAATCAAATAATTGCCTTATTCTCGCTTAGTTCTCCCCAGCTTTTCGTGGCTAATATAGTAAATCTAGAGCTTTCTTTGCCTCCTTTAAATGACCTCCACATGGACTAAAAGGAACGACACTCCTGTGTTAAAAAAAAAAAAAAAAAAAAAGACAAATATCAAATCAACACATTCTGGATATAAAATATTCAGTGAAAATAGGTTTCCTGAAGTGATATTTATGATATTTATTAAAACATTCAAAAATGGTGACAATCGAAATAAGATTTAGGATGCTGAAACACTTGGTTTTCTAGGTTAGTCGGCACTCTGGAAAGTGTGAATCTATGGGCATAATCATCACGCAAGTGGTTCCGTAAACCGGTCTTATGCTACTTGTACAAAACACACTCCATTTGAACTTGCACATGGAACTTTAGTTTGATTAACAAGTGCAGAGATACACTAGCAGTGACCGTAGTCAATGGCAAACCCTTCCACCTAAAGGAAGAGCAACAACGTAACACTATAGAGCTTAGTAGAGTTTAAAAGAAATAGGGGCGCCTGGGTGGCTCAGTCTGTTAAGTGTCTGCCTTCGGCTCAGGTCATGATCCCAGGGTCCTGGGATCGAGCCCCGCATCGGGCTCCCTGCTCGGCGGGAAGCCTGCTTCTCCCTCTCCCACTCCCCCTGCTTGTGTTCCCTCTCTCGCTGTCTCTCTCTCTGTCAAATTAATAAATAAAATCTTTAAAAAAAAAAAAAGAAAGAAAGAAACAGCAATTCCACCAACCTTTGCCTGTAAAGAGTATGAAATGACTTGCTTTGCTAAATATTGGCATGCTATTTTGCAGGATTTTTTATCAAAGAATCACAAACCTAAGTGTTGGAAAAGTCCATGGGTTAATAATACAGTGCATTCTTATTCACCTCCATGCTCACCTACCCCATAAAGGAAGTCCTTTTAAAAGATACATAGTGAGTCGGAAGTGAGCATATACTATGTGCCAAGCACCATTCAAAGTCTTAGGGAAATACAAGTAAAACGGGATCTTTACTCTAAAGGAACTCAATCTAGTCCTGACAGATAATCATCCAACCTCTACTTGCATATTTCTTATAGTTTGGAATTTCATTCTTGGTTACTTCTAATCTTGAGACATTATTCTTTGTCTCAGATTGAGTTGAAATTTACTTCTCTGTGATTTCTACCCATGGCTCTTGTTTTTCCTTTCTGGAGCAAAGGAATAATGACTTATATATTTAAAAATATTAGAACACATATGATTTTTCCACTCACCTGGCAGCCCTTTTGCAAGTACTTTCTTCTCCAGGTGAAATATCCTTAATGTTCTCACCTGATCTTCACGTGATACAGTTTCCACTCTCCCCTAGCATCTGCATCAGCCTTCCTTGGACAAATTCTACTTTGTCTACACATTTCTTTAAGTGTAGAGCTCAGAATTGCACAGTTGTGGTCTCACCAGAAGAGAATATAGTTGAACTGGTAAAAAATCAAATTTAACTGAAAGCCACGATCTCTAAATTCAAGTTCCTACTCCCATCACAAATTTGTTGTGGAACCATGAGCAAGTCATTTCACATCACCGGTCCACCAGTCTTATTTTCCTTATCATTTCTATCTCCATAGGTCCAAGATTCTATATATTCAGAAACCAGACACTACCCTTTCATTGTTGCTACCCAAGACCACATTAACTATTTTTGCTGCTTGTTCTCAACTTAAATTTAAAACTTTTTAAATAAACTGCTATTAAGCCATGTCATTCACCCATTCATTCATTATACATTTATTTTGCATTATACATGTACCGAGGGCCACCAATTAGCAGCACCATACCAAGCTATGAGAATACAAAGATAAATAAGACAAAATCCCTGCCTGATAGGAGCTCACTGTCAGATTGTCCTGGTTCCTTGCATCAAAAATCTCACATCCCTGGCGGGAGACAGAGAGGTAAATGAACCATTACAAAGAATGTCACAAAGGCAATGTGAATGGTCAGTTCAGAGTGCTTGGCGACCCTGCAGGAGGAATCTCAAGGCCAGGTAGATGTGCCTCTTCACAGTGAGATACACTGGATGACTTCCTCATTCTCTATACAAATTCTGACTTCTTGCTTCTGAGATTTTATCCACTTCTCATTGCTCTCTTTATACCTTTCTTTTCTCCACAATACCCAGAGCAAATACCAGCTTATCAGTGAAGCCTCCATGATCCCATTGGCAGTCTTCCCAATTCTGTTACAGCACTTACCATGTTGTTCCTTAATTGTCTACACAAGGCTGTCTTTTCCTTAGCCTGGGAGCAACAAGAAAGCAGAAAATTAGCACCTTGCCAATTGTTTCCATTTGTTCAACTATCATGTACTGGGTGCCTACACCATGCCAGACATTATTCTAGGTGCTGTTATATAGCGCTGAAGTAGGTAACAGATCTCTGCTCTCAAGCTTACACTCTAGCAAAGGAGAGAGAGGAGAGGATTAACTAAACAATAGAGAAAAACAACAACAAAGCTATAAAGTTATAAGTTCTATTCAAAGAACTAAAGATAGAACGAGGTGATTCGGGATGGCTGGGTGGGGAGTGGGGATTGGATCCCTCCAAGGAGAATGTAGTACTTAAAACTTGGCCTCAGAAGCAAGACAGAAATGCGTCCCAGTCTAAGTTCCACTTCACTAACTACTCAACCTCTGGCAAGCTGCCTAATTTCAGTAGGCATCATATTCAAAACGGAGACAAAGACGTCTTCCCATACTCAATATCGTTACTGTGAGAAGTAGACAAGATGATTCATGTCACACTTAGAACAATGACATGCACAAAGTATATTTTCGATATCTGGAATTTTTTTCAGGGATATAATAAATACTTGTTGTACAAGGAATTAGGAAGAAGAAACCGTATTTCACCAGTTCAATGAAACGTAAAGGGAATCATATGGCTAGAGTTAGGAGGCATCAAGCTTTCACACTTACTCAAAGGATTGTCTCTTATGGAGACAAGAAAGCTGGTTCTGGAAAAATGAGGCAATACAGAGTTAAGAAACAATACAGCTCCTCTAATTTTTTTTTCAAATGGGTTCACTGGCATCATGTCTGAACAAGAAAAGGGATCATTCTTTCATTTTAAAAGAGGTCTAGCCTGATAAAACACGTACTGTTAAACCTCTTGTGTGTGTGTTTCCAGGCACAGGATGAGTAAGTCAATATTGCAGTGACTTCGCAGGGCTGAATTCTTTACTTTCATGAATCCTTGAGGAGACGTCAGTGCAGACTATCAAAATATGACAGAGATTATCTCAGAGTCATATTAGACTCTCTGCTAATGTTTATCTTCAGATGCTACCTCCCTTCTCCAACGTCACGCAGCACCTGTTCCTCAAGTAGAGTAGACATCTCATATAATTAATCATCTGGCTATCAATAACAAAAACCTTTTCATTTAATTAATTGCTATTTTTATATGAGCATTCACATGATATGAAGGATGAAGGATTATATAAAGTAAGGGTATTGGTTTATAACTAACACATGAACATACAAATGAATATGTGCAGTCAGCATCCGGAAGGTATAGGCGATGTGCAGCCCAGCTGGTCATATTCAGGCCTCCTTCCAGCCTCGTTCTGGATGAAAATCTACTTTATAATTCCACCTACTCAGAATGTGACCTTCATTGATATCTATCTCCAGTAATACTACATGAGTTATTTTAAATCAGGTTTTTAATTTACTTCTACCTTTTTAATTATTTTTCATGATTTCTCTTGCATCAGATAAAGAGTGAAGGAAATGACACCTTCCTTTATTTTCCAAACCAAATTCAGTTCAGCACAAGAAGCTAACTCAGAGTTAATGAGAAGTCCAAAATCAGGTGTTACACGGGAGAGAGGACAGAAACAAGAACTGGTCCTCTGTTCCTAGGACTTCCATTGCCATCATGAGCCTGCCACTCTTCCTGATCCACAGGAGGCTTGGCCACAGTGATCTCCGGGGGCAGCTGATCTCCAGACCCACACAGTGAAGCCATTCTGCGGGGCATTTTGAGAGGGCTCTATGCCCCTCCTCTCTATGAGGGTCACCACTTGCTGGGCTTTCTCCCCTTCTCCATATCTTAAC